GGGCACTGGCTCCCAGGAAGCCTGGGACGGGTGTCTGAGAGGTCCCTCTAACTGACCACTTCCTTTTATAGTTAAGGAAACTGATACATTCTTTCTTTTCATCCTTTGCAACACCTTTTAAAAAATTTCAGATTAATATGAGGGTAGATGTTTAGGTTACATTATTTTAAATTCTAAGGTAAAGTTCAAGTTGTAGTTGAGCCCTTCACCCAGGGAGCGTGTTGAACACCCTCACATTGTGCACATTAGGTGAGATCCTGCCAGTCGCCCTCCCTCCTCCCTTTCCTGCAACACCTATTAACTAAGTGCTTTCTATGAGCCAGGCTGTGGTAGATAGTTTGTTTCCATCTCCAGTGGCCCAGATCTCCCTTTTTGGAGAATCTTTTTTGTATGTGCTTTTTGGTGGGGATCTTACTTAGAAGTGATGGGAGATTTGGGGACAGGGAGACGTGTGACCACATGCTTCTTGCCCCCCATGACTCTTACTCTTTAGCTAGTGACACTGTGACATTAAGCAGTTGATATTTACATCTGTACCAACCTCTACATTGGCCCAAGAATCAGATTTCTTGGAATCTCTGACCTTTGCCAATTCTGTTGGTTTCCTGCGGCTGCTGTAACAAATCCCCACGAATTGGGTGTCTTGCAGCAACATGTTTTTTTAATTTTAAAATTTTAGAATATTACAGGGGTACAGTTGTTTTGGTTACATGCTTTGGTTTTGTGTAGTTTGAGTCAAAGTTCTCAGTGTGCATTGTACCGGTTAGGTGTGAATTTACCCCTCCCCCCGCCCCACCTCCTTGGTTTCTCTTGAGTTTTACTACCATATGCCCATGGGTGTTAATCACTTAGTTCCAATTTAATAGTGAGTACTTGTGGTATTTGTTTTTCCATTCTTGTAATACTTCACTTAGATAGTCAGAAGCCTGAAGTTGGGGCTGGCATTCTTCCTTTCTTTCTTTGGGATGTCAGCTGGTCTCTCCTTCCTTTTCTCCCCCACTCCCTTCTTCCCTCCTCTCCTCCCTCTCTCTCTCTTACTCATCTCTTACCCTCCCTCTTACAGAGCTGGGCTTCTCCTCTCTCCTCTCTTCTTCTTCTGCTCTTGGGCCCTCCCTCCTCCTTCACAGCCAACTAGCAGAGCACCCTGCTTCAATCCTAAGTCTTCTCTCTCTCTGCTCAGATCTTCCTTTGCCTTTTTGTTATTGGGGCACTTATCGTTGCATTTAGGGCCCACCTGGATACTCCAGTAATATCTTGCCACCTCAGTGTCCATAATCTCATCTGCACAGACCCTTTTACCATACTAGGTATCATTCACAGGTTCCTCGAATTGGGACCTCGGTCCCCACCACACCAAAGGTTCCTGCTTCCCTGCCCAGTCTTCCAGTAGCCCTTCAATTCCATGTGCTCCTGATCTTCTCAATATGCTTTTGTTGGGTGGTGGTGGTGGGTGATTTGCAGTTTAATTTGTTTCCGTTTCTGATGACCAGGGACCCACATGAAGTCTGTCAGCATGGTGCAAAGAATTTTATATGCATTGCCTTTCTTAATCCTTACATCGACCCTCTTAGGAAGGCACTGTCCCCATTTTACAGATAAGAAAACCGTGGCCCTGAGTGGCAATTGCACAAAACCAGTCAACTAGTATAGGTGATGGAACTGGGATTTCAACTTGATTTTCCCCTTGCTCAGAATCCTAGTTCAATTATCTTTGATTGCAGGTCTTTTCCAAGGAGGGAGCCCAATGTCATCTGGGCCTTGAGGTCTCAATCCTATTATTTAGGCAAGGGAGGGATATTCTTGACAGTAGGGGGGCTAGAGAGTAAGAAGGGACTCTAAGGGATGCTTTGTAGGAAGGATATGATAGGCTTTGGTGGAGGAGAGATGAAGGAACTGACCACATCTGGGATGGTTTTGAGCAGACACAGTAGCTCATTTGTATGAACCCCTGGGAATGATGCCCTCACTCAGCTCTAGTGGGAATCCAGCTTGAATTAAGTCCCTTCCTGCCTCCTCGTGGTCTCCTCATCGTAGGGCTGGTTAAACACCTAACACTTTGGCTAGTGTTAATCAGTCTTTGCTCACGGATGCTAATGAACAACTTGCCCTCAAAAGTTAATGAAGTTCATCCTTAGTGTTTATATGGGTGGAAGCAAACAGGTCATTTCTGGAGCCCAGGAGACAACCCAGGCCCTAATGCTAAAAAGCTTGTGTCTGTTCTCAGAAGGAAACTTGCAAATTTGTTTAGGGCTGGAACTGACAACTAAATAAGATTTTGTCCTCTTTACCTGGTCATTTCTAGTCACCAGCTTAGTTGCCAAATTTAGCAAATAAACACAGGATGTCCAGTTAAATTCAAATTTCAGATTTGCAATAAATCATGAATATCTCATGCATTATACAGGTATTGCACGAAAAATTATTTGTTGTTTTTTCAAATTTAACTGGTCATCTTGTATTTTACTGGGCAGACTTAACCTACGCCTGCTGCTTCAGGATAATTTCAGGCAGGGACGTGGACAGTGGAATATGCCTGATAAAAGAGGCCGTAGACCTGGATTGACAAGGAGGCTGAGAACAAATTCCCAGATCAAGAGGAGAAAGAATACAGGGTAGAAGAATTCCCTGGGTGACTGATTTGAGGAAGGATGATTTGGTCTTCATTGCCCAGAACTTCTCTCTGTCTCCTGTTCTGTTGTGCCACAGCAGTGTGGCCACAGCAGGAAGGACCTGTGCCATGTCACGAGGATCATAGAAGCTTCCATTCTCTTCTGACCTGCTGACAACTAGAAGCAAAAATATGCAGGGTAGGGCCGGGTGCTGGCATCCAAGGGGAAGCAGTTAGTGAACTTGACTGTGTGCAGAAGACCATGGTGTCGGTTCCTGCCACCATTCGCTCTTAGGACCAGCAGAGGGCAAGGTTCCTGACACCTGTCCTAACTGCTACATGAGCGGCTTACTAGCAGCTGATTATGCTGCAATATTTCTACATACCCCCATGGAGAGACACACCACAAAATCAGAGGGAGGCCATGGAGGATAGCTTCAATTTGGGGTACGTAAAAGTCTAAGCTTTCCTCTGTCCCCAGAGACATATCCATGCTCTTCAGCAGCAGACGCTGTCTCCCATTTCTTTTGTCACCATGAGCACAGAGCCCAGTGGAAAGCTCTGTACTCAGAAAGGGGCTTAGTTCCTACTTTACCCAACAGCGGAGGAGAGTGCACTCAGCCCTCTGCCCACCACCACTTATTAGAAGTTATATCACCTCCTCCCTGATTTCTTTCTCTGGCCTTAGAAGATAAAGTTACAACAGGGTAGAAGACTCTACTTCCCTAAGTCCCTACTTTCAGATGAAAGCAAGTTTCGGGGGGGGGGGTGAAGATGACTTGGAAACCTTGTCTAGCTCCTGAGACGCTTTCTGAGAGTGGGAATTCTTTCTGGTTCTTATTCTGAGGTAGTATGAGCATAGAATTATAGAATCTTAAAGTTGAAAAAAATCCCTTACTGGTCATTGAAATACCCTTTAAGCCAGCATAGGAACCCTCCTTACTGCTCCATGATGGTTCTGCTCTTCCTTGAATACTGTCAGAGCCGGGAAGTGACCGTCACATAGAGCCCTGCCGCATGCTGCTGGTCAGCACCGCGTGCTCCACAGGTATCACTTACAGTCGTCTTGTCCTGGATCCACACTCCTGTCTGTGTCTTCCTGGGCCGCACGGCATGACCCTCTGATACAGTTCTCTCCCAGACACTGGCCACACGTCAGATAGATACCTTCTTTAATACTTGAGCTATTTCAGAGAGGCTTCATCAAAAATAATGAAATCAAATAAGCCATTCTTGCTGCCCTTTGGCTCTAGAGACAACCCACTTTTGCTGGATGATTCATTCCCAGAGGTTCTGGAGAGCTGAGATTGTTTTGGGGAGGTGATGAGGGAGAAACTTTGTTTCTTCACAGAAAGAACAACAGAACCAGGAAGTAAATATTTTTGTCAAATTAATATTAATCTTTGCATTAGACACAAGGTCTGTCATATTTGTTAGTTGACAGAAGAATACCCTTAATATGTAATACTGTGTCATTTTGTTTTTACAACTGGGCCGTGTTACCCTAACTGTGTCATTTTGTAGATGAGGAAAGTGAGACTCTAGAGGTTATGTGACTGTCAAGCCACCCAGTTCTCAGGTGGAGAGTCAGGACTTAACCCCAAGTGTTCTGACTCAGTCTTCTAAGAGTACGTATGTACATATGTGTCTTTGTCTCTCCAAAATACCTGCCATGTCATGAGATCGTAACAGCCTTAAGACAAGGTACTTGGCACACACAGTCTAATAGGATTCTTAGGGATTTTTGGTTTTTTTTATAGTGTGTGCTTCTGGATGTGGCTTCAGTAAAAATGGAAGCAAAGAAACCCCATCCAGGTCAAAGAGTGGTGTGGGGCAATTAGAAAAACACTGATACAGTATGAAGAACACTAAAGTTATTCCCCAATTATGAGCTTTAGCGTAATCCATTTGTTTGCTAAAAATTCTAAGTGTCAAGGTGAAGAGTGAGTTACTGCTTTAGTGCAGTTAATCCAGAGAAATTTCTTGAAGGAAATAGGAGACAAGGAAATGTAAGAAAAAACTGAAATAAGAAATTGAGTGTCTGGCAGGTTGGAAAGAGAGGAAGGAGTTTGGCAAGGGTCAGAGAGGAGAGTAGGGGACAAGGTTTGGGGATAGGAGTGGGACAGATGCGGGGGACCTCGCGTTTTCTTTACAGTTTGGAACTAGGATTCTAATATGATAAGTTGTTCTTCTTTGGAAAGTGAAACCCAGATGGCTAAATTTAATTCCACTCGGAACAACTGGTGAGTCACCTGAGCCCAGGTGTACCCTCATACAGCTGGTGTCAGCTCTGTGCTTTCCAGGCGGATCCTGCTTTAGCCCAGCCTCCCTCTTGGAGCCACTGGGGAAAGCTAGACGGTGCTAACCTTGAGCCCTGTGTGTCTCCCTGCAGCATCCTGGCCACTGCGGGAACCCACTTCAACACTCATGTGGACCTGAGGACCCTGCGGGCTGTGCGTGTCCTGAGGCCCCTGAAGCTCGTCTCGGGGATTCCTAGTGAGCATCTGCCTTTCTTTCTGCTCTGCGAGTAACTGTGTTAACGTGTCCTCGGCTGGATCTGGGTCTGAGAGAATTTGGGATAAACAAGAAGCAATTTCTCCTGGGAGGAAGCCCCCGTGTAAATAAATAGTGGAGATGTGGCCATCTGGCATAACATTTCATTTTTAAATTTAACCTTTTTTTTTCAAATAGGATTTAAAAGATGGAGAGTCTTTATAGAAAATTTAGAATATAAAGAAAATGAAAAAAAAAAGACAATAAGTCTGGGTGCAGTGGCTCAGGCCTATAATCCCAGCATTCTGGGAGGCCAAGGTAGTAGGATCACTTTGAGGCTGGGAGTTTGAGACCAGCCTGAGCAAGAGTGAAACCCTGTTTCTACTAAAATATAGAAAAACTAGCTGGGCATCGTGGTGGGTGCCTGTAGTCCCAGCTACTTGGGAGGCTGGGGCAGGAGGATCACTTGAGCCCCAGAGTTTGAGGTTGCTGTGAGCTGTGAAACAGAGTGAGATCCTATTTTAGAAAGAAAAAAAAAAAAAGGAAAAGAAAGAAAAAATACTCTTTATCTTATCACTGAGAAATAACTTTTGTTAGCATCTTAGTGTTTTTTATTCATTTTTCCTGTGCATTTTAATATAATTGGAATTCTACGTGTCTCTCTCTATATGTGTTCTGATCCCAAAATAAGTATTTTATTTTTCTAGACTTAAAAATCCCTGTATGCGTTATGATTTTTTAGCCATTTTTATGTTGACAGACAACATAAATAATAAAAATGCGTTATTTTGAGTTTTTTTCCCGACTATAAATATGCTTGCCGCAACATTTTTTGGCCGAGGCTGGGTTTGAACCTGCCACCTCCAATATATGGGGCCAGAGCCCTACTCCTTTGAGCCACAGGCACTGCCCAACAAATATCTTTCTATTTAAATCTTTATTCAAGTCTCTGTGTTCTTAGGCTAGAATCTCAGAAGTGTCATGCCAGGGTCAAAAGATACGGCATTTTCTGAACAGTGGTTGTACTAATGTGCTCCCCCAACAGTGGGCAGGAGAGCTGGATCTGAGACAGAGTGACAGGGAACATGAATTACGTCCCTGTTCTTGTAGGATGCTCACCTAGCAGGATGAGGCCTAATCTCCTTTAGGGAAGGAGCACATTCTACTAAATCTGATCTTTCATGAGAATGCAGAAGACAACCGGTGGAAGCGATGAGGAAGGGTAGCAGGCACGTGCAGGGTGAGGAGGAGGAGGGAATGTTTCCCGGGGAAAGGGGCCATGGTGACCTTTGGCTTCACTTGTCCTGGTTATCTCTTTATGAATTACCTTTACCATCGCAGGACCAGTGGTTCTTTCCCCTCAAAGACAGGCCCCTCTGCTCGTAGGACAAAGTAAACTGAGCCTGCCTTGTCCGATGGTGCTGGGGGAGGGCTCCCTCTGTCATTCTCTGTCCCTCTTCCTAGGCCTGCAGATCGTGCTGAAGTCCATCATGAAGGCCATGGTGCCTCTCCTGCAGATCGGCCTTCTGCTCTTCTTTGCCATCCTGATGTTTGCTATCATCGGCTTGGAGTTCTACAGTGGGAAGTTACATCGAGCATGCTTCACGAACAATTCAGGTAGGGGCACCGTTTTCTGTTTTCTTCTTTTTTTCCTTCCTTCCTCCTCTGGTCACTGGGGTAATTTCAGAGCAGTTGGGAGCTGGTTGGAAAAATATGTCCCAACCCTGGAATTAGAATCAGAAACTTCTTACTAAGCAGCCTTTTCAGGCGCAACCAGCCAAGAATAAAGAGCTCTATTTGATGCTGATTGCAAAGCAAATAACCTCTTGGGTGGTTGGAAGATTCAAATAGCTGGTCTCAGCTTCCCCATCCCATGGTAGAGGGCTGTCAGAATGCACTTGAAAAGCCACCTGTGTGAATGAATGAATACACCCACGCACATGCACACACCTCGTTTGTACAGTGGTCTCTTTGGCCCATAGGCCAGTGAGACCCAGGAGTCCAGAGTCAGGCTTAGCCCCTCCAGATCTGTGGACATTCTCCCTCAGTGCTCCCTCTTGTGATCATCCTTGCTCTCCATCTGACTCACATGAAGTGGGGAAGATCTGAGAGAGCTCTGAGCTTGACCTGGCAAGTGTGCTGAGATTTCTGGGGTACACAAACCCAGAATTCTCATCTCTTTGAATCTTACTTGTTCTTTTCAAGTTGAGTAGACTACCCTAGGAGAAACAGATTGGGAGACAGGCTGAGGAAACCCGCATAGGTACCATGTCTTTCGTGAAAAGGATCTCAAGGACACCTCCCACCTTAGATTTGTATTTTTTTAATTGTATATTTATTCAAGACAAGGAATCCATGGTGGGAAAACAAGGAGTTAGTTATACAGCATGTCCTAAAAGTTTCCCCTGCAGGTTTTACACATGGGGAAAATGGGAAATTAGAGACAAATGTGCCTTTATTTACAAAATAGTCATTACAAAATTTTACAAAGAGGGGACCAATATGTAGAGAATAGTTCGTAAATATTTTGTAAAATTTTATCATGACCATTTTGTAAATAAAGGTGCATTTAGCCACAATTTCCCGTTTTCCCCATCCATGGCAACTTTAGGGACAACTTTTAGGATTTCCTGTAAACTAAAGGGACTGTGGTTTGTAACTGTCTGCAAGAAACCCAGAAAGGACTCAGGGTTTATCCCGTAGCCTGAACTTGACTCTGCCTTCACCTTACAACTCTCGGTATAATTGAGTCCTATAAATACCTATTGTACTGCAGGTGAGCATGGGGGACGAGGCCTACAGAGTAGGGGCCATGTGAATGGCCATGTGAATCCCTTTCTCAGAAGGGGTTGGGAAGCACAGAATTGAACACATGGCATGTGAGCTGGGAGCTGCAGAAACATCAGGGAGGAGAGAAAGCCTGAGACAAGGCAGGACAAGCCTCTTTCCATAGGGAAGAGAATTGCTTGCCTGTGGCTTCCTCAGACCATTTCCAGCTCATGCTAAACATCATGTGGTTTACCCCCCACCCTCCAATGTGTCTACAGGTATTCTAGAAGGATTTGATCCCCCTCACCCATGTGGTGTGCAGGGCTGCCCGGCTGGGTATGAATGCAAGGACTGGATCGGCCCCAATGATGGGATCACGCAGTTTGATAACATCCTCTTTGCTGTGCTGACTGTCTTCCAGTGCATCACCATGGAAGGGTGGACCACCGTGCTGTACAATGTGAGTAGAGCTGGCGGGGGTCGGGGAGGAGGAGGGGAGAAACCCGGAATGAGGCATCTGGGGTTGTCTGGCCTGCTTAGTCTGGGGACAGGAAGGGCTGGGGCTGCGTATGTGTTGGGGTGAGAAGTCTTAGCAGTTCATAGCCCTCCTTTGTCTGCCCAGTTGCTAAGTGGATGTAAACAGCTTCTTAATGCCATCAGGAAATTAGGTCCTTTATTGGATCGGCAAACAAAGTCACACCCACTCACTAGGTATAAAGTATGTTGGCTGTATGGGAGAATAGAGTAGAGTGAAGGGTACCAAGAAGAGTCGATTTCTTGGTTGCTGTCCTCAAAGAGCTTATTACCAACAGGTTAGGAAGCTGTCACAGTAGTTCCCAGCCCAGACTGCATGGTAGAATGAGCTGGGAACTTAAAAAAAATTACACCAGCTGGGCTCCATCCCATACTAATTAAGTAGGACTATCTAGGGGTGAAGGCCTATCTTTGACGTTTTTTAAAGCTTTCTAGCTGATGCTAGCATGCAGCCACCATCAGGAACTACTGCTTTACCCACACATAGGAAGCCTGCTTAATTGTCAGGCTCACCAGGGATGCTTGTTAAAAATTCAGATCCACAGGCCCCTTCCCTGGAGATTCTGATTTTGTATAGCTCTGGATAGTTGGTGAGCTGTTCTTTAAACAAGTGCCCTTGTGATTCATGTAATCAAACACATTTGCAAGGTTCTGAGTTGGTGCAGAAGACAAGAGTGTCTTGCTTCCTGTCAGGGATGTTGAGGATTCTTGTGTGGGGACAGAGGTGGACAAGGTGACCCTGAAGTCGCTTCTGCCTTCCATAGTCTGTCTGACTTTAATAAGTTAGCAGAAGCATGGTACGGCGGGTAAGTTCAAACATGAGAGGTGGGGGAAAGTGTGGGGTTTGCTGCACTTGGAGCCTGGGCAGGCAAAGTAACTCTCGTTGGTGCTTCCAAAGGACTGTGCCCTTCTGTGCGTTCAGCCAGCCCTCCCCAAGGCAGATACCTTTGCAGTGATCATCCTTCATTCATGGGCTCCACGGCCTGCCTTTACCTTAAGGTGCCCTCTGTTTCCTTCAGTTCTTCTCTTGATCTTTTTGGCCTGATTTTACCTGTATAAAATTTATTACGTGGGATACACAGTAGTTTATACAAAGCACCCTTGAGGAGGAGCTCTGGGTGTAATTTCTCCTGGGGGGAAAGGAAATGCTGTGTCTCAGAGGAGACTCAACCAGATCGTAATGCCCAAAGAGCAAGGATTGTGTAAGGCCTGTGTAAGTAGGTACTTCATGAATGTCCAGGAGTCCATTCCCGTGGAGGATGAACAAGGCAGATTACAAAGCTTTGCAGGAGTCATAGGCTATTGTGCTAAAGCTCTAAGGCAGCGGTTCCCAACCTGTGGGTCGTGACCCACAAGCACTGTATTAAAGGGCCACGGCATCAGGAAGGTTGAGAACCTCTGCTCTCAGGGGTGGCAAGGACGTTCCATGGATCAGTGTATGCCCAGCAAGCCCAGGGGTCAGCTGTGAACCAGAAGCTCCTGGAGGATGCTCTGGGATTCTCGCCAGTTGTGGGAGGCAGCTGGAAAGAGGGAAGCGAGGTGGGGTTGCTGAGTGCCATCACTCCACAGTTGAGATGTGAAGGTTGTCTTGAGGCCGTGTCACTCAGATTAGTCAGGTGCCTCTAGAAATTGGAGCATCGGCCCTGCAGTGGCTGGTGTCACTTGTGGGCCTTTGGGAGTGATGTATTTCAATTATATGTGTAGACTCACCTAAGTGATGTGATAAATGCATTGAAAGCCCCAAAGAAGAAGTGTCGCATTAGAGGATACAGGCGTGCTTGCTGGTCCTCTTTAGCCAAGGCTCAGAGGGTTCTGAGACAAGCAGGAGCTGCAGACACAGCTGAGTGACTGCTCATCGTTTGTGCATTACTTCATTGTTTGCTCATTCATTCATTCTTTCAACACGTATTAACCGAGAATCTACTGTATGCCAAGCTCTGTGCCAGGTACTAGGGAAATGGGGAGAGAAAAGTGCTGTGATTCTTCTGTGCTTACGGCGCTCTCCTCAAATTCCCATTTCTCTCTAGTCATCTGTCCACCATAGGTATGGAGGCCACACAAACAGACAGTGAGTTTGTGCCCCTCTTTAGTTTTATCCCTGGAGAGAGGGAGAAGAGATCAAGCTGCAGGTCCTCTGACACCTGTCACTGTACAGGCTCCCTGGGCCACAGACTCACACCTTCTCTGACCTCTAACCTGTCAGCCATTGAACTTCAGTTTACTGAAGGCCTCCTGCTACCCAGATGGCTGGCTCCAAGGCTTGGGGAGTGCTCACTTACACTCGCTCTCTCTCACCATGGAATTAACTGTGAACAAGTAGCCAATAAATGCATATTTACATGTATATATGTTCCTATATATGTAAAACCCCAAATTACTTACTGAGCATTAGCATTTCTGCCACCAATAAGATGCAAATATAAATAACAGCATTGATTTCCGTCTCTACCACTCCTGGCTCTGGGAAGGCCTAGTCCGCCCAGCTGCTGGGTCTGCTTACACAGAACACTAAGAGATGGGGAGCCCCTGTTTCCCAGTCCAGAGCTCCCCCTAGTCAAAGATGCAATAAATATGTAGGATTTATTGCACAGTTACACCCTAACTAGTAGAAGCTTCTGGTCTTTGCAGCAGAAGAAGTCCTCTGTGCGGTTAGATGCTTCTCTCCAGGGCGCCTCCCTTTTCTCCTGCACAGACTCTTCCTCAATGCCTCCCTGTGACCTTGTGTTGGCGCTGCCACTGATGACTGTTAACTTCATTTGCATATGGCTTTTCTTGTTAGAATGAGTTATTACAAGTGGGGAGGGCTCCCATTGTCAGGGCAGCCTGGAGTTGCCCATGCTTAATTTAGTCTCTATCAAAGCTTCAACTCTGCTTGGTCAAACTCCAGCTGTATTCTTGGCGTCCCTCCCTCCTATGGTGAAAAGAATGCAGAACACTCTCTGGTTCTTCTGGCTTCTTCTACCTGTCTTGACTTTCTCTCCCAAAGGTCTCCCCGACGTACAAACTCTCCCCTGTCCTTACTGATTTAGTTTCTTGTACGGCTCCTAAACCTCACCCGTGTTCCTTCTCCAGTAGGATACGTTCTCCTTCCCATCAATGCCGTTCACTCAGCACATGCTCCTGTGGCTCGGCACTAACTTCTAACCCTCTTCACCTGGGCTAGAGGTGGCTAAGGGAACTGACGTGCTCCTGGTTCCGTCTGAGTCTCATTTCTCACTCGCATTCTGGTTTTATGCTACTGCTGATTCAGGTAGCTGTTTTCTTGTATGAGGACTGAAAAGGAGATGGCAGAGGTTCCAGGCCCCTGTCTGTAGTCTGGTGTTTTTCATTGTATTTCTGTGGTCAGAGCCATTTCTCTTCTCACTTGCTGTTGGTAAAACTTGTGCAGGTGCAGAGAAGTCTTGGAGCTTTGCGGGTTCGCCTGGTGTGCCCATTGTGACGGGGAGGCTCTGAGCCGCCACGGCATGAGGGGTTTACATGTCCTGTACTGGCTTTTGGTAGGAAGAAGCAGCTTGTGGTCTGGAAACTTCCTGAGAATCTCTTTACTCTTCAGAAGTCCTTCGCTCTGTGATGGTGCCTATGGCTCTCTTTTAAGTTACATTCTCCCAACTGCGATCGCCAATATTTGTTAAATGATTAACAGCTATTCGCTTTTCATCTCACTGAGATTTTGCTTACGGGTGTTATGTGTGAGCATGTTGAAAGCATAACATCATGTCTCCGGGTTTATGAAAAACTGCTGTTCTCTTCCTGATGCACCTCTGATCTTGTGGTAGCTACAGAGGACACTTTGGGTTCTGGGGGCCATGAGACTAGGGAAAGAGTCTATTCTTCTTTGCTTCAGTCTGACCCCACCCCCAGTGCCCTGGTTAGAGCAGAACATACTCAAACTCATTTGACAAACAGGTGGCAGGAGCCTGTGATCATCCTAGAGTGATAAAGTGAGCTGAACAACCAAGGGTCAGTTACATAATGGGTGATATTTGTGGATACCTGTGTGTAGGGCCACGAATGCCTGGGAATAGCTGCTGTTTTCTTGTGTTCCTATATCAACTGTCCTTTTCCTGCAGGAGTCTGAGATCCTGTAATAAATACAGATGACTCTGAAATCTGATATCAGTGTCTGTTCTGCTGCAACTTGTGTTATCCACAGAGGAATGGATAAGTGGGTCCTGGGAGTTAGTCTGCCCACTTTCCCAAGAAGGCTGGGAAGCAGGGTGGGTGTGCGAGAGCTGTGATAACTTCCTCCTAATTGGCAGGACATCTTGCTTGCCAGGCTTTACAAGGACAGGAGAGAGTAGAGGGAGGGGAAAAGATTTCCTGAACTTGAAGTAAAGGCTTTTCTCCTCTCTGTTTACCTTCATAGGTAATCACAGATTCATTCGTTAACTCATTATGCATTCAGCAAAGATTTATTGGGTACCTATTATGTGCCAGTTACTATTCTAACTGCTGGGATACAATAGCAAATAAAATATTGAAAAGTCCCTGCCCTCATAAAGCTTACATTCTTAGTGGGAAAATACGTATGGAATGTAACTAAAACATATGGCGCATCAGGTAGTGATGGGTGCTATGGTGAGAAAAAGCAGGGAAAGGGGGAGCTGGTTGCAATTTTAAATGGAGCTGTGAGGAAGGGCCACATTTGTCAGGAGAAGGTAGCATTTGAACAAAGATCGGAAGGAGGTGAGAGAGTGTCCCAGGTGGGAATCTGGGGGAGGAGTGTCCCAGGTGGCTGGGACATCAAATACAAAGATCCCAAGATGCCTGTGTGACAGCTATATCTGCAGAACAAAGAGCATGGGAAGTTGCAGTGTAATGAATGAAGGGGAAATGAGGAGGAGCTGGAATCTATGGCAGATCACTGGGAACCTTGAAGACCATCACAGAGACTTGGTTTTTACTCTGAGGGAGATGGGAAGCCAT